TAGGTGACTAATTGTGTAATTCGCTTCGATGCCCCAGGACTACTTGGAGTCAGCATCACAAGTGATGGCCTGCTCCTTTATTCATTCACAGGTTGAGGGTGTCACAGGCTAGGCAGCATTTATTGCCCATCCCTAATTGCCCAGAGAGTAGTTCATACCTGGAATCACATGTAGGCCAGACCAGGTAAGGATGGCAGTTTCTTCCCTAAAGGGCATCAGTAAAGCAGGTCAGCTTTTCCCGACAATCACCAATGGATTCATGGTCATCATTAGATTCTTTAATTCCAGATACTCTATTGAATTCAAATTCCACCATCTGCCTTGCCAGGATTTGAACCGGGGTCACCGGAATGTTATCCGGGTCTATGGATTAACAGTCCAGCGACAATACCACTAGGCTATTGCCTTCCCAGTGATACATAAGGTCTCATCGAACACAGATGACCATTTGAAGAGCCAGTGCAGGCACAATGGGCTGAACGGCCTCCTTCTTACTGTAACTGCTCCAGAATTCTGTGACTCCTTTCTTAGGACAGTCTGTTCCTAAATAGAGTTGCTGCACCTTTACCCCCAGGCTGCCTGTCATCATCTCCTACCTTATGTTTGTGTGTTTCTTTTTTAATGCATATGTGGGATGAGGGTCATCACTGGCTGGCGCAACATTTATTGCCCATCCCTAGTTGCCCTTGAGAAGGTGGTGGTGAGCTGCCTTTTTGAACCTCTACAGTCCATGTGCTGTGGGTTGACCCACAATGCCATCAGGGAGGAAGCTCCAGGATTTTGACCCAGTGACAGTGAAGAAACAGCAATTTATGCCCAAGTCAGGACGGTGAGTGGGTTTGGAAGAGAAATTGCAAGGATTGGTGTTCCACATTTCTGCTGCCTTCGTCCTTCTAGATAGAAGCGGGCATGGGTTTGGAGGGTGCTGCCTAAGGAGCCTTTGTGAATTTCTGCAGTGTATCTTGAGGAGGCGGTCAGGTATCTACGGTGTGTGCGTGGTCCCAAGTCATAACAGCCTCCAAGTTGCCTTTGTCGCTGGATGTTTGTGACGTTTGATCAGGTGGCTTGGCTGATCTCATGGTGGCTGTCAATGTTAGCCCCAGGCTCTGAGTGTCTAATCTGTGACTCTATGGAGCAGTTCCTTCTGAGGGTGGGGCATTGGTGCTAAATAAACGTGAAGCTGACAGGCACTCCACTCGTGACTGAAACAAAAAAAGGAACTTCCTCAATTTTTTTCGCAGATGAGGGCTGGAGGGTCTCAAGCAGCTGCTGATGGTTTTGGCGCATCCCTCGAGAGCCTGGAGCTGGCATGTGAGATGCTGTTCAGCTGCAGAATGTGGTGATCTCACACTCCCTCCATTCCTCTGGTTCCCTTAACCTCTGTGAAACTGATCTTTTACTCGTGTTAATTTTTCCGGGTGCAGATAGTTGACGTGGCACAGCAAGTGACATGGGGGGGCGGGATGGATTGAAGGCAGGAAGGGAATGGAGGAACATGGTGCTGGATTTTGTCTCAGATACCATCCTCACACATTATCATCTCCCTCATCACCACTGCTATTCAAATTATCATAGCAGTCGGCAGCAGGGAAATGGTGTCATATGCCCCTGTCATCTGCAGGAAAGGTGGAGGCATTAAGAATGCATGACCATGAAGGAAATGAACAAAGGTGTGGAAGATTGTGGCTGTGTTTTGTTGCTCCAAAAGGTTGTCATGGTGACTCACCTGCTGACTGCTTCGTTGCCACCAATCTCATTGCTTTCCTCATGTGAGAGCAGAGAGTCCCGCCTGGCAGCTCCATAGCCTGTGCCTGGGTACCTCCTTAATGTTGAGGGATCTCCCTCTAGTTTTCGGACATAGTAGGAACTGCAGATGCTGGAGAATCTGAGATAACAAGGTGTAGAGCTGGATGAACACAGCAGGCCAAGCAGCATCATAGGAGCAGAAAGGCTGACGTTTCGGGCCTAGACCCTTCATCAGAAAAGCTTTTTTTTTTCAGGCGGTGGCAACGGCAGCGATGGTGTTCGCTGTCCCGGAAGTGGGGAACCCAGCGGTGGCGGATGTGATGTCATCTGTGGGTTCTCCGACAGTGGCCTCATGGCCAATGGCGGCGGGCACATTGTGGGGAAGGTCCTGGGATGGCTGGGGATTTGGGGGGTGGAGGAAGCCGGTTTTGGGTGGTAGGCACCAGTAAGTTTACTGTACTTACGGTTTTTAGTGTCCAATAAAGCGGAGTAGAATTGTGAGTTCAGGTTGTGGATCCTATGAAGAATGAAAAACAGGAGAGGTCCTTTGCAGGTCGGGGAGAAGGAGGCTCTGAGCTGGGGTAGGCTTGATTGTAGTGCCTGGAGATGCCGGCGCATTGCTGCGAGTGGGTGTTTCAGGAGTCACAGGGAGAAACGCTTCTGAAGGATCTCAATGCCATGAGTGTAGATATTGTCACAGTTGGGGCCAAATTGGGAAGGCCTGAATGTGGACTGTAGTCCATTGGGGATGATCTGGTTCCGTAGGCAGGTGCTGAGAAAGGTGATGTGGCTGTAGTACCTGGTTTGCTTCAGGACATGGTCGAGCAGTTTCAGGGCCGAAGAGATTACGAGAGAGTTGCAGTGGGAGAGAGATCCCCTGAGGTTTGTCCGGAGAAAGGAGGGTAAATTCTTCAGGCTAGGCATCCTTAGAAGAGGCTTCGCAGTGGGGTTAAAATTGAATCAGAGATAGTAGGAACTGCAGATGCTGGAGAATCCGAGACAACAAGGTGCAGAGCTGGATGAACACAGCAGGCCAAGCAGGAAGGCTGACGTTTTGGGCCTAGACCCTTCATCAGAAAAGGGTCTAGGCCCGAAACGTCAACCTTTCTGCTCCTATGATGCTGCTTGCCCTGCTGTGTTCATCCAGCTCTGCACCTTGTTGTCCCTCTAGTTTTTGTTGCTTTTCCTGTTTGCTATGAAAGTAGGCCATTCATCCAATGAGTTTTGCCAGCTCTTTTGAGTCAGCAATTCAGTTAATTCCACTTATAGAATCCCTGCAGCGTGGAAACAGGCCATTTGGCTCAACAAGTCCATACCGCTCCTTTGAAAGCATCCCACCCAGAATCATTCCCCTACCTTTGCCTTTCCCATGTCTAACCTGCCTAACCTACACATCCCTGGACACTATGGGCGATTTAGCATGGCCAATCCACCTAGCCCGCACATCTTTGGACCGTGGGAGGAAGCCAGAGCACCCAGAGGAAACCCACACAGACACAGGGAGAATGTGCAAACTCCACACAGACAGTCACCCAAGGGTGGAATTGAACCTGGGTCCCTGGCGCTGTGAGGCAGCTGTGCTAACCACTGAGCCACCATGCCACCCAATGATGCCACTCTTAATCTTTCTCTATATTCCTTGAATTTATCTCCTTCGAGCAGAATTATAATTAGAATTAAATTTATTGTCCCATATATTCAAATGAGTACAGTAAAAATTTGATAAGTCTCCACTTACAGCACCATTTTAGGTACAAGGTCCCTAGGTACAGCTTCTTCAGTTACAGTTCTCAGAAAAATAGAGAAGTAAAAAGTCCAGCATTGCAGATTTTAAGAATAACTTATAAAATGGAAAAAAAGAAGTTCAGAACAACGGTCTTCCAACCCAGTCTATGCTGACACCTAGCCACCCGTCCACACCAGGCCTTGACTCTAGACTCTTCACCTCAGGGTTCACAAGGCCGGGACATCGCTCTGGAATTACCTTGAGACTGGAGGTCCATGCTGAGGCCACGGCTGGGCTGAAAGACCACCATGCTGAACTGGGAAGCCTACACGCCAGGCCCCAGGGTGTACTGAGGCCACGAGATTGGAGGCGGGGAGTTCCGAGGGTGCGAGATCAGTGGCCATGAGGTTGGAGGTCAGGAGGCCAAGAGAGAGAAGAGGGGAAAAAAAGGAGAAAAGAAAGAGAGGGAAAAAAAAAGAAAGGAACAGACAGAGTGGATGAGCTCCAGCTGAAGCATCCTAATCCACCACCATCTTGGATCAAGGAGTTTGTCCAATTACCTTTTTTGATGACTGTTATAAAATCTGTTCCCATCACTCGATCAGACAGTGTATTCCAAATCCTAACCAGAAGGGCTATTGAGGCTGGGTCATTACATTCAAAACTGAGACGGACAGATTTTTAGTCAGTAAGGGAATGGGGGAAAGGCAGGAAAGTGGAGTTGAGGATTCTCAGATCAGCCATGATCTCATTGAATAATTGAGGTAATTGGGCAGGTCACACGGAAAGGCATATCTCAACATAAACAAAGTCAAACAGCCCTAAAGAATGTTTACCCCAAAAGCAGATTGGTAAATGAAAGCTTTAAAAAAAATCACTTTATAAAATGTCATTCAATAAAATAATATTCTCCAGCTTCCCTGTAGCATTTCGAGAACTGCAGGTGATAAGGATTCAGTATTATAATGATAGCTCCAAAAAGCAATGTATAAAAAGATAAAAAGCTAAGGTGGCACAGTGGTTAGCACTGCTGCCTCACAGCGCCAGGGACCCGGGCGACTGTCTGTGTGGAGCTTGTACATTCTCGCCATGCCTTGTGTGGGTTTCCTCCGGGTGCTCTGGTTTCCTCCCACTGTCCAAAGATGTGCAGGTTAGATGGATTGGCCATGCTAAACTGCCCATAGTGTCCAGGGATGTGCAGGTTAGGTGGATTAGCCATGGGAAATGCAAGGATTGCAGAGACAGGGTAGGGCGTTGGGTCTGGGTGGGATGCACTTTGGAGGGTCGGTGTGGACTTGATGGGCCAAATGGCCTGCTCCCACACTGTAGGGATTCTATGATTCAGGTTATACACCTGAGAGCCTTCGAATGAGGGTAAAAGACTGGACCGAATGGAAAGTAGACTCAGTCTTCCTTCAGTTAACTGGAGAAACATATAGATGTGACCCAAATACAGAGATTGTTGTCTGGAGATGATTCTTGATCAAAACCCTCTTTCTGACTGCTTTTGATGACACACAAAGTGTTTGTGCTTGCTGCAGCAGCATGTATACTAAAACTGGAATGATACAGAGAAGATTAGCATAGTCCTAGTTCAAGGATGACAGGCACGTTCATGAAACGTTAAACAAAAGAATGACCCAAATGCAGTAAAGTGCATATTCTAATTAATGAGAATTTCAAATATATTTTCAGCCACATGAGTCAATATTAGCAACAGATAATGAGGGCTTAAAATGACTACAGTATAAAATAGCTGCTCCCTTGAAAACAAAGTGATCGCAACCAGTGGTTCCCATATGTAATTTCACCCTAAAAATAGGTCTTGCATTATTTATGTTGACAAGGCCATCTCTGATCACTTCCTCCAGCACTCCCTTCTCCCACCATCCACATCTCCTTTGCCATCTCTAACCTGAACCCTGGAGGATGAAATCTTAACCCAGCTCCTTCTCATCCAGGAGTTATCAATTGGTTTTGGTTACAGGACCCCTTTTTGAAAGGATTAGTAACCAGACTCCTATACACCAAAATTATCATGTAATATGCATTCATTGTCTGAAAGTCTTGCGCGTGAAGAATGCATTTTTCTACTTCGATCCTCCTTTTTAAATGAAAACAAATATTTCTCTACATATAACAATCAGTGAGATGTTTGCTTACTTTTCATTGACGAATTTGCTTATCCTTCACAGGAGCACACAGCAACCTCCTGCCTGGAGAGGGAGCAGCCTGAGGATAATCCAGTCCAGAGAATCAACTGGGGGAAGAGAGCCAGAACAGAAAGCATAGCACATAGACAGCAAGACCACGGGGAGAGCAGGGATGTGGGAAGAGCAGGGACACAGGATGAACTGAGCACAGAGAATGCACTCAGTGGAGAGAGGGCAGGGAGCAGAGGCAAAGTTTGAATTGAAAGCAGAGAAGGCAAAAGCAAGGAGAAGGCCCCAGCGAGAAAGCGGAAGTACAGAGAGATCTAGATGAGCAGGGAAAGGGCATTAAGAAAAGCAAGGACTAGTACGTGCCTCCAGCTGCTACTCATTCCCTTACTCCCTAGATGGTCACCACTAACAACCACTGTACGGTCAACTCCCAGATATCCACAAACTCTAAAACTTCTAATGCTTCTCTGTCTTTCTGCACTGCCTTTCCAAACTCACTCACTAAGGCTGCTTCACAATACACTCCAAGCCTGTTATCTCTACCATCTAGGAGGACAATGGCATTGGATACTATCTACATAATGTAGGATCCAAAGCTGCTGCCTGACCTGCTGTAATCTCCAGCATTTGTTGTTTTTGATACTACCTACACCATCTGCAAGCTCCTCACCAAGATACACACCATTCTGACTCCCAAACTCTACTGTTGCTGGGTCAAAATCCCGGAATTCTTTTTCTGATGGAATTGTGGATGTCCCTAAACCCCAAGGACTATGGCAATTTATTGTCATATGCATTCATTGTCTGAAAGTCTTGCGCGTGAAGAATACATTTTTCTGCTTCAATCCTCCTTTTTAAATGAAAACAAGTATTTCTCTACATATAACAATCAGTGAGATGTTTGCTTACTTTTCATTGATGAATTTGCTTATCCTTCACAGGAGCACACAGCAACCTCCTGCCTGGAGAGGGAGCAGCCTGAGGATAATCCAGTCCAGAGAATCAACTGGGGGAAGAGAGCCAGAACAGAAAGCATAGCACATAGACAGCAAGACCACGGGGAGAGCAGGGACGTGGGAAGAACAGGGACACAGGATGAACTGAGCACAGAGAATGCACTCAGTGGAGAGAGGGCAGGGAGCTCCAGCTTCTCAAAAGTGATTAGAGATGGGCAGTAAACATTGACCACGCTTTATACTGCTGCTGTGAAGATCCTTGGAATTTTTGACAATGTTAAAAGTGTGATACAAGTGGAAGTTAAATATTGTTATTAAATGCAGAGTTGGTATCTTCACTACAGAAATTATTCTATACACATCTTGATCTTAGATTTGGCGCAGTTGTTGAGATATAGGTGACATATAACCTACAAGAATGATTGTACAGCTTCGCTTTTAGCAACAACTTCATCCAGTGATTCACAAATTCCATCCTTTAGATGTTTGATCAAAGAAAGACAGCTCACCATTGGCCATCCTTCATGTATCAGCATTGGCCCAAAGTATCAGCATGATATTCAAACCATGTCCAAGCCAATACTGCATCCACACACTCATATACTTGTAAAAAGAATCATTGATGGCAATGAGTGAGATGACATCCCATTGAAATGAGCCACTTATGCGCAAGCACTAATTTGGACACATCTCTAGATACCTCATTCAGCCAAAAGTCCACTCCTGTCCCACCATAAATAGAGAAGATAGTCGTAGAGTCACAGAGATGTCAACACAGAAACAGACCCATCAGTCTAACTTGTCCATGTCAACCAGATATCCTAAATCAATCTAGTCCCATTTGCCAGCATTTGGCCCATATCCCTCTAAACCCTTCCTATTCATATACTCATCCAGATGCCTTTTAAATGATGTAATTTTACCAGCTTCCACCACCTCCTCTGGCAGCTCATTCCATACACGCACCACCCTCTGCGTGAAAAAGGTAGCCTTTAGGCCCCCTTTAAATCTTTCCCTTCTCACCTTAAACCTATGCCCTCTAGATTAGACTCCCCTACCCTGGGAAGAAAATAGCTATTCATCCCATCCATGCCCCTCATGATTTTATAAACCTCTAAGGACACCCCTCAACCTCCAACGCCCCAAGCTATTCAGCCTCTCCCTAGAGCTCAAACCTTCCAGCTCTGGCAAAATTGTTGAAAATCTTTTCTGCACCCTTTCAAGTTTAACATCATCTTTCCTATAAACTCAGCCACAACTCATAATTTTTAAAAATTATTTGGTTAGCAATCTAGGCCAGTCAGCTGACCTGAACCTCACTGGTTAGACCTACAGTTCCCTTGTGAATACATCTCGATTCATCAAGCAGTTCTCAAATGAAAATCAATTCCCGCCTGTTAAATGGAGATTGGATTCCCTGGCTTCAGGAATCCATGGCCTTGGCCATCAATTTCCTTATAAGAGGAGAGAACAAAGCTTGCAACACACAAGGGAAATTCCCTGAAATCACAGCATTTTGGAAGATGATAACCTGAGTCCCTGAGGAATTTCAAGACAATTAAAATGGCAGGTAAAAAGATAGGAGCAATATCTGTGCAGCTCATTATTGTTTATAAGAAACGGTATAGAGTGTTGCAATAGAACCTCGCAGTGTGCTCTTTCTGCTGCCTTGACATTGTTAGAGAATACACCCTTTATTGGTTTTCTGTAAGAGATGTTTTCAGACCTCTTCCTCATTGTAATGTTCAATTACTGGAAATGAAGGTGCATTGTCAAACATTCTCAATAGATTGTGTAGCACTGAATTCAATAGTTGTATTGCACAAGGCTAGTTTCAGAATCAGTGAATTAGAAATTTTGCTTTCTGTAGCCTTAAGGAGCCAACATGCCTTGCAAACCATCACAACAGTAGCACTCCTTGCGAACGAACAGAGTGAATAATCAGCCAATGTCTACTAATAAAATGGTCAAATTATTAAATGACCTATACCCTCACTACATCCTACTTACTATTCAAATGCACTTCAATTGCTTTTCAAAAAGCTTTTCAAAAAGCAGAATACTACAGATGCTGGAATAAAAGCAGAAAATGCTGGGGGTGCTCACCATCCAAGTAATTCCCAGTTGAACCAGTGATTGACAGGTACCTCTTTCAGTCTGAGAAAGTAGGAACTGCCGATGCTGGAGAATCTGAGATAGCAAGGTGTAGAGCTGGATGAACACAGCAGGCCAGACAGAGGAGCAGGAAAGCTGATGTTTCGGGTCTGGACCCTTGCAGGAGAGGACCATAGGGTGTCGGTGATCAGGGGGTTTTGCCCACATGCACAGAGAGGGGCCAGGAGGGGCAGGCAGACATGTGGGAGGCAGTGGAACTCATTGCCCAAAGGCTGCAGCAGAGCAGTGGGTCATGTGACCATTAGGCTGCCATGAAGACCTGGATCCAGCAACCTCAGTGGCACATACACCAGGACTTCATCACCCAACTATTGGCCCTCCAAACCAAAAACATGGAAACACGGGGTGGGGAACATTAGCCTTGGTGCAGGTGCCCCTCTTCACAAGAAGATGGGACAATGCAGGAAGCACACAGCTGGAGGTGGAATCACAAACACACGCCCCTCTGCACTTGCCACTCAGGACACTAGAGGTAGCCAGGCCCTTCATCTCCACCCCATCTGCTGCCCTCCTCACCTTAGAAATTCAAGCTGAGGACGGTCAACTTGCATGTTGGAATTCCCTCCCCAGTGGCATTGTGTGTCAAACCACAGCAGGTGGACTGCAGCGGTTCAAGAAGGCAGCTCCCCACCACCTTCTCAAGGGGCAACCAGGGACGGTCAATAAATGCTGGCCCAGCCAGCAACACCCACATCTTACAAATAAATAAAAAACAGAAGATCATTGGCATGTCTGGCCCATTTTCACAAGCAACCCCCTGCCCTGGGGGTGCCCCACCAAACCTCCAGAGCCAACAGGCTTCATTCCCACCACACCAGCTGCAGAACAGGGGACTGCTCTAAGATGTAGAGAGCGAAAGGCACTTTATTGGCTTGGGTGAGAAAAGCCACACCATTGGCAGCACTTTCTGGCGACCGATGAGGCTCCACAGATGGAAGTCTGCAATGAGAGCTCTCTGTCTTTCTTCATTGAGCATCCCTAATGTTCGGCTCCCTCTAAGCACAATGGTTGAGCTGTCAGAGTTGTCCAGCAGTGGGTGTGCCAGGGAAGTGCAACACATAGAGTCAATGCTGTACCACAGTAATAGAGAAGGCAGCCTATGTGCTGTACATTGCATGGGCCTGTGTCCTGTGATCAGTGTTTGCAACATATCCCTGCCTCTCAGGCTGAGTCATGGCCTCTGCCTCCTCACAGCCATTGTCTTCCCCATTGCACACTTCTCCATTTGCGTCACCATGGAAGGCAGCAGTGAGTGTTCCTCTGTGAGCAGCTTCCAGTCTCAGGCTGGCCTTGTCAACGAGCGCCTAAACATCCACACCACAGCCCATCCTCTTAACTCGAC